AAACTAAGGCTACGTCCACACGTACACGGGTATTTTTGAAAATGGAGATTTTCCGTTTTCGTTTTAAAAAATAATCCCATCCACACGTAAAGGCAGAAATGAAGGAAAACGCTGCTAGGAACATGCCAAAGCAACAGGTGGCGATATATTCCTAACCGTGCAGAAATGTTGGCCAATCAGAAGTCTAGAAGCCTAGAAGCCTCGGTGGGAAAAAGTAAATAAAGCTGGGGCATAGAAGCAGAACCGAGTCGTATGTGTGGAGGGACAGTAACTGTGTGTGTATATGTAAGCATTTAAACACTGCAGAGAGTACAATTAACAGTAATAGTATTGTAGAAATTCATTTCACCGAAACAATAACGTGGCGCACAGTGTGACGTCAAAAAATGCGCACACCTTTGACGCTGCGTTTTCTCCGTGTTTCTCGTCCACACGTAAATGCAAAAACGGAGTTTTCAAAAATCTCCACCCTGGCCGGAGTTTTTAAAAAGCTCAGTTTTCAGTGAAAAAAAATGCCGTTTACGTGTGGACGAAAGGTGCAAACCCATAGAAAAATCTGCGTTTTCAAAAATACCCGGGTACGTGTGGACATAGCCTAAAAGTTAGCTTGTTTTTGAATAAGCCCACAGAAACCAAGGGAAACCCTGGAAGCAGCACAACTCCTCCTGGGTGTTTACAAAAACTAACACTCAACAAGATGTTCAGTCCGGCACCATGTGAGCAAGGCTACACATACCTCTTCCCCGTTACATTTCATTTCTCCAAAAATTCAATGGCTGGATACTGGCATAGATTAATAACCTTTTCTCTCTCATAAGCTTTACAGGACTATTAACAGGTTGCGCTCGTGAACAAAGAACTGGTTCTGTGGGGGTTTCTGCGGCCGAATAAAGCAAAGGTGAAATTATTATGAGCGTGTTTGGGTTCCTGCGGGTCTCTTTAAATGCTAGCACACCTCATTTTCCTGAGGCTGTTTGAACCCCGAGTCCTCTGGAGCACACAATAACCACTTTAAGAACAGCTGAGGCAGCTATACCAACAAGCAAACTGAACAGATTTCAATAAGCTGTTATAAGAAGGGGTGGAGAGGATAAAAACACCTCACATGAATGCTTGTGTAAGGTTAAAATACACGGAGCACATATTCCTGACTTTGAATTTGCATAAAACTAATTTCCAGACATCTCTAAGGCTACGATTACTCTTCCTCTGTAAAACACAGTGACATCTCAGTGGCTGTATTTTAATCACATTTCATATACTCCTCTTAATTTCCGTCAAATGTGAAGCTACGTATTTTTTCTGTCCTTGGTATATCCTTGAAAATGGACGGCAGTGAAGATGCTCATAACTGTGTAGCTTTTTTCCCCCTCTCACAGCCATGTTATTAATTCCAAGGAGTTGCTCACTAAGCAATTAAAAATCCATGAATCTAAATACAAAGCTGAAAAAGGCTATAAAAAATAAAGAAATATAAAAAAAAGTATTCAGTTCATTAAGAAGAAGAAGAAGAAATGCCTTCTGCCATCTGTGACTGCACACTGAACCTACTGGAATCTCATTTAAACAGCTTGCCCAAAACATGAAGAGTACGTTAAATGGGATTTATTTCAAGCCTGCAGCATGGAAGTTTAAAGCAATGTTGCCAAGCCCTTGTAATGCATATCAATCCATTTTTTGAAGGCTATAATTCTCCCTGCGAATGTCAAGTTTCTTTTTCTATCTGACTTTCTCAGAAGCTACGTTTATCCCCCATGACGATAACCTCAGTTAATATACTGCTGTGTGTGTCTGATGCTACGTCACGTTCCTCTGTAGCTCTGGAAAACCAATCGCTCGCAGCTGATTTAAAATTCATCCAGATCGACACACCAGTGAGGAAGTGTTTAAGCAGACATCAGATTTCAAAGTATGATTTACTAAAACGTACTGAAACACACTGATATATATAACATACTCCAAGGTGATGAAATTTGAACTATCCAAACTACTAGTTCAAATTAGGAAAGGCCTAAATGTAACACACATTTAATTATATGTAAAACTCCCATGTTCCAGCTTTACAGTGACACAGATCACAAGACTAACTGCGTTCACACTAGGCATGTGCACGGTCAACAAGACATTTAAACACTGCTACTCTTGCTATTAGGCACCAGAAATACTAGTCTGTTAAATCTATTATTGTTGTTTTACTAAGTTACCTGTTGGTTCAAAGATGTTACAACGCCACCTGAGACCAACTAGTGCTGCAGCCCTGACAAATGCCTGAGACCCCCTCGCTCTCTGTGAGGGAACTTGAAATCAAACAGATTGAAAGTACGAAGATGCGTGAAACACCACAGCTCTGCAGTACATTGATGAAGAAAATGAACTTTTGTATGTTGGCTGTGTGAGAGAAAACTGGCATATAACCACACTGGAGTGGTCCAAGTAATTTGTAACCACATTATGCACAGACGTGTGGATGCTAGCCTGCCATGAAAGGGGCTACTGCGGCTAGCAAACATTTATCAAACTAATCTGACACTGTTTGGCCCCAGCGCTATACACGGCACAAAGTACAACACATTTCACCAACATTCATAACAAGATTTGAACGATGAGGAATCCGTTAATGGTCTCAAATGACTCCTAAATTCATACACAGTTATTCTAAGGTCAGTGTTTATCCTTGTCTGTTAGATTGCGCCCAGCGTCTTCTGCCTTTTACACTAGTTAACTAGTCTGATTTTTTTCCCGTCTCGTTCAAATGACTCGTAAATTAGTCCCCAAGAACATCCTGGGGACCCTTTTGTGTTGGAAGTGCCCAGAAATGAAATATAGGAGTAGAGTCGAGAAGAACTCAGTGACGAGTAGAGTAGAAGTATTTGAAGCAAAACATGACTGCCACTTATGGCGAAGCAAGAATAACTCAAGTTTCCCACCTCGACATTTAAAAAAGAAAAAAAAACAAACTTGATAATATGCAGCACCATTTGAGCCCAGCACTGCCTGTTCTGTTTGTCTGAGTCGTTGGACAACAGCAATTACGTTATTTCAAGCAGGCAGCATTGAAAGAAAGGCTTTCAGAATGAAAATATGAACAGGCACCACAGAGAATAAGGAGGCAAAATGCAACGTTGAAACTGTGGGAGAAACTGCTTGGTAACACCCTGCCAAGATTTCAGATAAACTAATGACGTCCGTTACCGGCGTGCAGATGACCTTTTCTATGAAATTGTTCTTCTCACCTGCCCTTTGGCACTCATGCATGTCATAAATATTTTATGGCTGTAAAATAATATGCATGTGCTACATGATTCATACGTGAATGAGTTATGCCAGTGAAAGACCACTCCAATAGAAGGACAATAACTACTATTAGTTCTTTGGCTACACTGAAAGCACAGTAATGTTTGTGGAACATGTGTGTAGCAGAGCTTCTTAGTAGATACACCTGAAGAGCACGTTCTACTTAAGATTATGATATTTAACAGGAAAACAAGACTTGAGGATTTATTTCATGGGTTCTGTTGTGTTTTTAGCTTTTGAAAACAGCACAGCACTGTGGAACTGTCACTATCACTATGTTAACTGGATTTTCGTGTCAATTCCTCAGACTGGTCTGATTTTGTGATTGCTAAATAGATATATATAGTGGGAATAGCATATTCCCACTTCTTACACACTACTCTTACGCACGGTGTAGCCACTTTGATTGAAACAGTGAAACTGCACCGTTGCAGCATGTGCAGTGAAAACTGCCTACAACTGTTACACAGTTGTTTGGTGTAGTGTAATTTTGAAACAGCATGTTAAAAATGAATCTATGTGCATTTTCACTAGCTTGTGTTTTCTGTCCATTTTAGCATGTTATTCAGTAAAGGAGGATCACAGCTGTGCTTGTTGGGTAATTTAGCTGGAACTCAGCAGAAGAAATGCTAGTACTCTCATGAGATCACGCCTGCCATGAGATCTACACACATTTAGTGTTCTATGGTGTTTTTCCATCTTAGTTGGATGAACACTTGTCATTAACCTGACTAACTCCATCTTCACTTCTGGTGTTGCACTACGCGTTCTACTCCACCCTTCCCACCTCATATGTACACGTACACAGTGCAACCCACAGATTGCAGCCTGGTGACAGAGAGAAATTATGAGATAACCTGGCGTGACTAGAAATGAATGCAGCAGAGGCACTCACACTGCTCTGAAATGAACACAGCAGTACAAATTAGGTAAATACAAGGTTTAGTTTCTTTTCTATCATTTAAATACTGATTTAAAAAAAGTAAATGTTTCTATGTCAGTGTTCCCGAGTTATCATTTGATAGGTGCACATGAACCTTGTGCAGAGCACTGCATTCCAAAAGGCACAACACTATTAGAGATACCAAACACTGACCCTGATTTAGGAGGGAGAAAGCGCCTCAGAACGATAGCTGGCCAGAACAAATGATAAATGTCAACACTGAAGCCCAAAGTGACCAGTATGTAGCTCACTGCTGACACTAATTTCCAAGCCTGTTTAAGCAGTCACTAAGGCTTTTCAAACAGCCTGTGTGTTCTAGATCATCAAGTTCAACAATGTCTGCCTGCGGGACAAAACAGCAAAACTCAGGCCAAGGTGATAAAAATGCCTGCTGTTAAAGAACTAAAACCATTAGACCTAGTGGAGAAACAAAGGGCGAGAGAGCACAGAGCACACTCAGCTGTGCAAAGGAATACAGAACAAAATGAAAGGAGCATTTGTGCTGACGTGTATCACTTGGCAAACAGTAACACACACCCAGAGACGTCAGATTGTTTAAAAAAATGTTTCAAGACACCTGGTTGAATGACATAAGCTATGTAATCAACCAAAGATAAACTAAGTACTTACTAATATGTAAGAAAACCAGTTGTTTCTGATCTCCTTATTCACTGTCAAATACACACAGAAATATATATATATATATAAATTAAGACATGCTAGCTCTTTCTTTTCTACACTTAACACTACTGTGGGCCCTTACCTGTGTCTGTGCTCATCGTGTCCTCCCTGTCCATGTATGATCACCTGTCCTGAGGCATGCTTGCCCTCCTTGGGTGTGTCAATATGAGGGATAAGCACATCCTCCAAGCCCAGGTCAAAACGCTTGTGCTTGGAATTGTCTGGGAGAAAAAAGAAGGCCCCGAAGCATAAGGTGATGAAGGCACTGAGGATGAGGAGGAGGATGAACTTCTCAGAGAGCCTCAACGTGGCCCTATGGTGCGGGAAGGAGGAGGCACCCGGCGACAGAGTGGGTATCCTGCGGCCCGACAGCGGTAGTAGAGCCGGCGTTGTCATCTTTTGACCGTTTGAAATTAACTTTACTAGGGATGGGGTAAGGTGGGTTTCACAGGTGCCACGGGTTGCTGTAGCGGCATGCACCGACTGGTTAACTTTATTATCTCATCCCTGCTTTGGTAGGTCCAGAAACCAAAAAAGGCAGAGATCCCTCAGTAACAGGGTGACTTGTCAGGAGGAACACGGCCATGATGGTTCTGAAAAAAAGTACACAGAGGCATTCAGTTAGGGAAAAAAATAATAATCAAATGAGAGTGTATTTAACAGACTAAACACCACTGTAGAAAAACCTTGCCTTTTCCTTTCTTCATTTTTTACCATTTTTTTTTTTAGATAGTCAACGCTCTCTATGCACTGGCAGGATAGAAGAGTTGATGTCCTTTATAGTCTATCCTTCAGTTGTCATTTCTCCACTTTGGCAGCATGTCTTTTGTAACCACTAGTATCCTCTCACCATGAACTCTCCCTGACAGGCTTCTACTGAGCCAAACAGCTCTGAATTACAATCAAAAGCAAAGTGACAGCTCAAGTAAATGGCATGTCATATATCAAGCAAGAGCTGATAAATTAGAGTAATAAACAATCCTCTTGGCTTGCTATGGTGATTTTAACAACATGTCATCTGGAATATAAATACCTCAGGATGTCTCTCGCTCTTTCTCTTTCCACAAACACACACAAAAGACTTAATCCTTTGGCCATGAGAAAAATGATAGATTTTCCAAGAGGCTTAAGGTATCAAGAGTTTGTGCAGTATCTGTTCGATCAACTGTCCTTTACGCATACTGGCTTTAGTGCCACTGCAGAGTGAGCACATCTTTCTTTCTACAGTTTTATCTTATTGCAGTGGTGTATTTCTTGCTACCACACATGTATCATGATAAAAAAGCACAAAAGTAACACACAATGCACAGCTGTGTTCCAAACTCTAGCCAAAAAAAAGGGAGTAAGCCGCAATTTCTAAGTACATTGCATGCCTGTTTTCTGTGCTGTACTACATCTGAATATCAACCCACCAATTAGACACCCGTGGGCTATACTGGAAAAGATAAAGGTTTTATTCCCTCGTGCCGGCAGATGTGGAAAGAAGACGTGGGGCAAATGTCTGATTCGGCTCAGCAGCTGCTCCAAGTGCGAATGTAAAGGATGGATGGAAATGAAGCAAGTACCCCTTTAAAGACAAACATTGCTATTCGTACTAAAGCCTGCGGGGTTGGAGCTAGACAGTGTTAACAGAGCCCTGTTTTTCCTGTACTTTTCCATCATGTTGGTATGGAGCTGCGTCTCCACGCAGAATACCAAGTTCATTCTGTGACAGTGCCAGCCTGTGTGAGGTGATTAGCCAATACAAAACGCTAGCTAACAGGCAAATGCGCTATCTTACCCGGCTAATACTGGCTAGCAATGGAAAGAAAAGAGGAAAATAAAGTTCCTGTCAACGCTCAGGGGGAAACCCACACAATAAATACAAATAGCCCGACATACGCGTTTCGGCCCGTTGACATTTGAGCTATCCCGGAGGTTGTAAAGACAGAGCTTTAAAACCCTCAGCCTGCCCAGGTGCTAGCTATTTGGCTACAAGGCTAGCACTAGCTAGCTGGCTGGCTGGCTGCGAATTGACAGAGGCGGTCTCTTGTGTGGAAGCCACTCTGCTGCATCACCACCTTTCTCATATGCTCGTCGAAAATCGATGCCTGTCGGGATTCCCGGTCCACGTTTTGAAAGGAGTCGCTGTAGCAGGTGTCCTCATGTCCACAAATGAAACACCGTGGTGTCGTGCCGTGGCTGAACCGCTGACCGTCAGCTCAGACCCACATAGCGTTACAGCTCCGCGGAGAGGATGTTGATAACCGGTCGCTCTGTTGGACTGCAGCGACGGACTGAGTGCGAGCTGCTGCTGCTGCTCGGCGATTCAGCATCAACTACTCTGCCTACCCGAGTTAGGGACCGTCTGACAATTTCGCTGGGCAGAATTACTGTTCTGTATGTAAAACAAGGCACACCAACAATGGCACACCCCCAGTTTGCTAGAGGACTAGATTCTTCTTCCCTGTGATTCACCTCTGTAAAACTGAAAAACAGCTGCAGCGTGCATAATACTACATTTGTGCAAATTATGGTCCAATCCTTCACCTCAATTTTTTTTTAGCATTTGTTTGTTATACTTAAATTAGGGATGCACCCTTTTCCAGCACAGATGTGACGATTCTATTGCAGTGTTAGATTAATATGCTGTATTCATCACTCGGCAAGAGACGGAGAATCATTTATTTATGTATTAAGGCAAAATCAAAGGTTGATTTAAACACTGTTTTCTTGAGTTAAACAAATACAGTATGACAAATAAGTGTATATAATAAAATATTATAGCCCAGCTTATATAGGTGCCAATATTTGGTGATAAATCAACCTATATTTTTTTCTTTAGGCAGACAAAACAAATAGATTTCCATAGCATTAGTTATGTGTAGTTATTTGTGAGTCCTTACTAGGACAAACTTATTTTTTTGTATCATCGCAAAATCAATTACTCATTAATGGTCTGGTTGTTGTATTTGTGGAGTATGTGCCCCCTGATGGACAAACTATGCAATGTCAGCACTTGTAGCATGGTTGAGGGGTGTTTCTCCCAGTGCAAGGATATAAATGTACTGAACTGGTATCTCATAGTAAAATAACACCTGACAACAGGACCAACATAAATGAAATCAAAATGAGAGAAAGAAGATATTCACACTCATTCACCTTCTTTACTTTAGTTTCATTTCAGCTGTGTGAGAGTCTTTTCTGAACACTAAAAAAACTACCCCAAGTATACCTGGAAAAGCTGATGGAGTAGAAAGCTTGAAATTCCTGCAAAGCTTCCTCTGTGCTTTGTTAGTTCTTAGGCTGGTGGATCATGAAGTAAAAAAAATTAAATAAAATAAAGATGGACCTTTTTTATAGATTAGATATTAAGGGGTAGTTTTGTTTTGTTTTTTGTTGTTTTTTTTAAAAGAAATGTATCAGATTTTGGGTCAGTGCTGGGTCGATATCAGATCCAAATAACAGATCAATGCACCCTTAAGTTGTGAGTAAAAAGGTAACAGTTCAAAAATGAATAATTTTACTGCATTGCAGTCTGTTTGGGGTCATTATCATACTGAAAAATGATTATCTTGCCAATCAAATGTTTTTCAAATAAAAAATACTGATAGTACTCTTCTATATTCATAAATTCATTGTTGTGTAAAAAAGAAAAGTAAGTATGGTAAGTAAAATATGGATTTATCATTGTCACTGATTTTCAGTCCAGTTCTTATGTAATTTGTCATAGCTCAATATATTTGTGATGAACACTGAATGAACTGAAGGAGCAGTTGACTCTCAGGTCCTGTGTCAGGTCTGCCTGGGACTTTCTTCTCATTTCTTAAGGACATGACTTCAAGATACTGTTCATTTATACCACATTGCACACCATATTCAGTGCATATATTAAGGAGCTGCTGGAAACCAGCACTACTTGGACTGAGACCACCAGGTCATCTGCAACATATAAATTAAATAAACCTGGAGACAAAATCCCACCCTGTCTGACACCACTGCTAACACCAATGGGGCAGGAATACTGCATTCCCATCTAACCTGCATCTTCTGATGAGCATTCCAGTAATGTACCCAGGAAGTCACTGTCGTTTTAATTTAACAAAAAGTTTCCTGTGGTTTACTGGATCAGAAGCATCAATAAAACACATGAAGACTGATGAATCTTTGCCCCATACAAGTTCACCATTTCCTCAAGTGCAATATACACATGTCAGTACCATGTTTCGCTTGAAGCCAAACTGATTACCCAGGGAAGAGATATACACACTGACTCTATCCAATAGGATTCTTTCTAGAACCTTAGATGAAATACTGGCTTATAATTATCCAGACAGCTTACTTTTCCAGCTTTGTCCTTAATAACTGGGACAAGCAAAATACACAACATCGAGTCTGGTAATATTACATGGATGATAAAACCAGTGAAACAGAGCACTAAAAGAGGAGCTAGCCTTAAACTAGCATTTTTTTTTTTTAGATGTTCTGCAGTAATGTGATCCAAACCATAATTTATGAATGGTTTCATATACCTCATGTGTATCCTTGGAGGTTTATCAGCAATGTCAGAATCATCCACATATGGTTCACTTTTTATACAAGTGAACAATGTACTGTAATGCTGTCTCCATAATGCTGCTATATTATCTGTCCAAGAAACACCTTCAACTGTGCACGGCAGAGTTATTTAACAATTATTAAGAATTTTTACCACTTTCCAAAAATCTGTGACATTATTATTCTCCATTTTCAAATCTGCTTTCACAACTTGCTCACCTTTAGATGTAAAAACAGTATACTTATATCTGGCATTTGCAAGCCTTTGCTGTTCAAACTCTGGGCCTTTCTTAGGTCTTCCAGCCCAAAAGTTTATAAGCTACATGCGCTTCATCCTGATACATAGCTACGTGTTCTTCCCAACCAGGCCTGATATTAGGTTTCTTATTATCCTTGCATTGTACATCAAATGGTTTACCACTTTCATACAAAGCAGTCACAATATCATCATACATGGAACAAAGTTTATGTTTATGCTCAAGATTCTTACATTTGACACCTTTGCACAAAATAGCTTCTTTAGGCAAATAAATGTTGTTTAAATATTTATCTGTATTATTATAATAGGCCAATACACCATCTTCACTAAATTCTGACCATTTTACACTGGTAGCATTATTAGTTACATGGTTATTTCCAATTGTTGCTGGCAATTTTACTTTTACTGTAAACACATTTACAGTAAAAGTAAAAGGTATATTGTCTGACACAGCTACCCCATACTCAGTGTTGGGGAGTAACGGAATACATGTACCGCCGTTACGTATTTAAAATACCGGTACTGTTTAAAAAAGTGGTACTTAGAATACAGTTACTTTGTGGATTACACGGCGGTACTTCCCTGTTTCATATTGTGGCGGGTCAGGACTGTTTCGGTTTTGTTTGACAGCTACGTTCTGTTGTTCCAGGCGGCAGCGTTGCGGTTGCCATGGTTACAAGGTGACAGTCTCGCTCTGCGTGTTTCCTGGGTGAGAGAGGCCTTTTTGTTGTTGTTGTTGTGCTAAGCTAATAGGCAGTAATCAGAATGTAGCTTCATGGGCAGTGTAGTCCGTCCTGCAGGGAGAATGGACTGCCATACTCGTTATGTGTCTGTGAGCGAGGAAAGAGGAGAGTCGAAAGGTACAAGTTGTCATCGAGCAAAAACGGGAGCTGGAAGCATGTAAATATAATAATAACCACTGCAGCCAAGAAGAGTGCCTGATGAGCCCAGTTGTAAGTAAGCTATTAAAACTCGACTGTACGCTTAGCCATAATGTAGCATGCCAAGCTTCACTTACATATGTGTAGCTGTCTTGGAGCGGTAACTCTTTGCTTGACAGAATAAGATCATTATCTTCCCCAAAACAGATTAAGTGGATAGCAGACCGAGAATTGCTGTGCGAAAGATGAGCATTAAAACCACCCACAACATATATATTATAAGTACTTTTATCTTAAATAAAGGCATTTATATGAGCCATCCTACTAAGATATTCCTAATTTTCAGGAGTTCAATAGGGAGTATAAATCATTTAAGGATAACAAATCTATTGTTATTCTGTGTATATTGTATACCAATACACCAGTCTACAACCAGTCTAACTGGCTTTATCATAGTATTAATTTTTGATTCATTAGATTCAGCAGTAACCTTGAAAGAGCTCAATTTTCTGACAGGTGGCATCTCTGTTAAGTTTCTCTTTAAGATACAGATGATAAAGTGTTTCTGCATCTACAAATTTAGGGCAAATTTAGTTGGGAACACACTTACTAGTTTAGTTTTTACAGCTTTTTATGGTACTCATAGCTCCAGCGCCAATGATAGATACAATTCCAGGCCTCTTGTTGCATCCAGTGTTCGCAACATAAACTTGAAACAACCTTCTCCAGCTTCAGGTGAGGCCTGCCCTTCTTCACAGTTTTGATCCATTGTGGGGAACACGTGAAGAGGAAGTCAGACCAACACTTAAGAGCAGTCACACTTGGGTTGACTTCCACAGCGCCAGCCTCAACTTGCTCTCAAACATCCACCGTGACTACATGTTTCAGTGCACCCACCTCGGTACACAGCTGGTCCATTCACCATAGTAAACAACATCCAAACTGGAGTACGTAAGAGGCGGCAGATCATCCTGGTGATAAGAGACAAATCTGGGGATATTATCCCCACATTCATTCAGCACCTTGAGGCAGGGTTTAATATTGTTGACAGCTTTTTGCATTCTTTATATCCAATGCTCCACTGTGAGGCAGGACAGAGCCCAAACAAAACGTTTTTGGTGGCTTTAGTCCCCTCAGAGTCAAATGTGTTCATAGCCAAGAACACAATTTCTTCCTGACTTGAAGTTTTAATTTTTATCACAAGGAAATTAAGTAGTTCATCCTCCACAATTACCCTGCCATCAGTCGTCCTTTATCTCTTTGTTTTTATTTGAGACCGTTTACAGGCAGGATCTGCAACACCACCACCTGCTGCACCCAAGTTCACCAAGTTCACTTTATTAGTGAACTATAGTTCACCTATATACAAGTATATCCAATTTGTATATAGTTTGCTAGGCCTGATATTTCTTTTGTCCACAACTTGTCTGGACAAACTACACACCATATCAAGATATGCCAAGTTTTTAGCTAATAGCTCTTTGGGAATCACCTTGTTGGTGCAAAAACACAAAAATGCTACGTTATGCCTGTAAAACTGTTGTCTTTGGCATATTTTGTAGATTTAACTACAGAAATGGGAACAAATTCTATATTTTGTGACAGCAGAGGGCGTAAACATAAAATTAAAAGAGTGTTTTCTGCTAAGTTGTCTGCTATGTGTAGACACGT